GGGTGGCTTTCTGGAGAGTAAGATGCACTTGTTCTTGGGAATGACCGCAGATGCCAATGCATCCCTCAACTCCTCTTGCATCACTGTGAGGAGAGAAAACGAGGACTGGCACTTCATTCCAGATAGCCTGTGACTGTCACCTAAATCACATGAGAATGACATCCCTCAGCCACTAAGCCCCAGAGAGCCCAGGCTCATTTCCAGCAATCAGCAATTCCAGCCCTGCTTCTGCTGATTAGGATAAGACCTGTTTTGGAGAACATTTCCTTTCTAGGAAAATTCTGAAGTAATCTCATACTTTTGAGCTATAATTTTTTAACCTTTTATTTAAAAAAAAACAAAATAACATTCTAGTTAAAAATCATGACATTACTCATAAATAAACTCTCAAACCTTTGAATAAAAATATCTTTGGAACTTCTCTTTCCATTTATTGAGGCATTAGGGAGTTGAAATGAGAGGGAGTAGGGTTTTTAAAATTTTATTTTTTATTGTGATAAAATATACATTAAATTCATCATTTTAATCATCTTTGGTTGTATGGTTCAGTGGCATTAGATACATTCACATTATCATATAACCATCACCACCATCCATCTCCAGAGAGTTTTCATCATCCCAGAGTGAAACACTATACCCATAACTAACCAATAACTTCTCATTTTCTCTCCCACAGCCCCTGTGTAGCATTGCTCCATTTTATTTCTCTATAGATTTGACTAACTCATATAAGTGAATCATCCAATAGTTGTCCTTTTTTGTCTGGCATATTTCACTTAGCATAATGTCTTCAAGGTTCATGCATGTTGTAGCATGGATAAGAATGGCATTCCTTTTAAAGGCTGCAAAATATTTCATTATATGTACCACATTGTGTTTATCCATTCATGTATCCATAGGCATTTAGCTTATGCCTGTTTGACTGTTATGAATAATGCTGCTGTGTATGTGAGCATACAAATACCTGAGTTCCTTCTTTCAGTTTTTTTGTGTGTATATACCTAGAAGTTGAATTGTTGAATCTAACGACAATTCTATGTTTAATTTCTTGAGAAATCACCATACAGTTTTCTGCAGGGGGTGTATCACTTTACATTCCCACCAGCAATGCACTTGGTTTTCAATTTTCTGGGGAAGTAGGTTTTTACACATGAAAAAAAGATGGTGTCTTCAAAACGGCGTCCCAAAACAATGCTAAAATATGTGCATTTGCAGGGAAACATTTCTCTCTTAAATTTTTTTTAAGAACACTGTTTGTGAAATTCATTTTGGTTTATAACTCTTCATTTTGAAGAATTCAGTATTAGTGACATTCAAATTAAGCAAAAGTGACAGCAGCAGCACTTACCACAAAGACCACAAGCTGCCTACAGTGTCAATTAAATAACTAGACATCCGTCAGGCACAGGAGTGGTGATAAAGATTAGGGAAACAAGAAGAGGGTCTCAAAGCCTACCGGTGTGCTGCCAAGCCCATTAAATTAAGTAAAAAGTAAAAATAAAGTGTAGTGATGAGCACAGAAAAGAGAAAGCAAATGGGGACACCTTTGACACAAGCAAAGAGATGGAGGTCATGCATTGTAAGAGGCCGTTGGAAAGTTGCTTGATTTGTAAATATTAGGGACATTGAATTTCAGGGAAAACAAAACAAAGCCTGTCAAAAATGGTTTTAAATAAATAAGCCTAAGCGCAAAAACCTAAATCAACTACTGGGTTTGCAGTGGAGGAAGGAACATCTATGGAGAATTAAAATATTTGTGTGAAGAATGAGACTACGTGTGTGGAAAGTCAAAAAACTGTATTCTGCTTCCTGTTTATAGATACCTTACATTTTGACTGCAAAGTATTTACTAGCAGAGAAAGACTTCCTTCTAATTTAAGGCATGATTGTGTAAAGGAAGGGGATTGCTGGTTTATTCTGCAGCAGAGTAAGTATTTCCTTAATGTCTCTTATGTGCCAGATCCTGGACTCAGGAATGGAGGTCATGGAGATGAAAAAGGGATGATATCTGCCCTCCAGGAGCTTACGGTTATGTTGGGCCAGGCAGACAGATCAGTTACATGGACATTCTCAGTACTGTGAGGAAAATGAAGCACCAGGGGACTGTGTGCATGAGGGGGCATAGGAAATGGGTTCTTGCTCTGGTAGCCAGAGACCCCTAGAAGGTTTTCTGAAGAAGAGGTCTGAGCTGACATGAGGTGAATAGGAGTTAGCTTCCCAAAGAGGAGGAGATAGGATTGGGTTGTAGTAGGGTCAGCGTTGCTAGGTGGTGGGACCAGCATGAGCAGAAGTAAAGGAAGTATGAGAGTCAAATTTGGTGGGGAGGTGATAGGGGAAGAGAATAGGAGGTCACCAGCAGTTTAGTGGTATTCCTAAGTCATGAATTTCAAGGTAGGAAGCAGCAGAGGGTAAAGCTAGACAGAAAAATCAAAGCTACACATTTCTCTTTTCTTCATTAATGTCTGAATCCATCCCATGCCTATCACCCATCTCCCTACACAAGCACACCTTTTAAAGATAATCACAACTTTGGTGTATTTAATTGAACATTCATTGTAAGTAGGCTAGTCTTTGGAGATGGAGAAGCTGATTGATATTAACAGTAATTAGCTTCATGCTCTCAGAGGCTTTGTCTGCTGAGCACTCTTTCCAGCACTGCCTAACGTGGGCATTGTGGTTGGTTCCTCAGCATCTATTCTGCTACAGCCCTGCTGAGTAGCAGCAGTGTGGTTTGGGGAGCTGACCCTCTGAGTTGGTCAGTTGATTTAAGGATAATCTTATTTCCACTGCCAGGGTGTTAGTTCAGTAATAGGCATGTTATTCACTTGTGGCCAATAAGAAAAGAGAATAAAATTTGAAGGAGGTTTGGGAGAAAAAGAGCCATAGTCAACCAAGCCCTTTCTGCTGCAAGATGAAAATGAAAAGCTTGTAGTTTAGATGCTGCAAAGGGACCCAGGTTGAGGATAAAGGTGATGCTGTGGATAATGGAATGGAGAGAGGAAAAAAAAATCACAATACTTGATGACACTTGATGAAAATCAGCTAATTCTGAACTTGTGCCATCACTGGACTTCTTGTTCTGACAGTTGATAATTTTCCTTACTGTTTAATCCAGTTTGGATTTTTCCATCTGTAATATGAAATCATGTGCATCCGAAATGATCCATAATTTCTGTGACTTTTCTGTATACACTAGTATAATACAGCCTTTTGTGATCCTAACCCCTTTGAGCCTCATTTTCCTTATCTGTGAAGTGAATATAATTATGTCTCAGAGTTTCTCATGAAGATTATTTGAGATTCAGAACAAAGCCTGAAAAGGGAGACATGAACTAATAAATGTTAAGTGCCCAGAATGTACCACTAAATACGAAGCTTAGTGACTAGAAGAAATTTATAAATAATGTCCACAGAAAGAGGTACAAATAAGATCACATGCATTTGGACCTTTGTACAGTTTGCTTTTTTTAAAAAAAAATGTCATTCATTCAATATTTGAGCAGTATGTTGGGTATAGAGCTATTGGATTTGCTGATAGATGGAAGGGAAGTGATGAATCATAGAGTGATGTTAAGGATGTCTCATCAGCTTCTGTGTAATTTGGGAAGACTGGAACAGGCAAATTGTTTCTGCTGTAGTTTTACTTGTCTGACATTCATGAGAAAGTTCTGTCTAGGCTGAAGTTAATATTTGGGAGTCACCAGAATGTTGATTGGGAACATGGGAATAGATGGTCCTGTTAAGGAGGGAGCAGGGAATGGGAGGAAAACATGTCATTTCTCTTGGGAAGCCTGTCTCATCCTCAGGTGTAAAGTACTCGTCAAAATCCTGGCAAAGAAAGGGCAAAGAGGAAACTGGCCTGAACGGAGTGCCGAATAGAGAGTTAGACTATTGGAATCACAGAAGCTGGCTGGAGGGGAAGAATGCTGAAAAAGGAGAAAGCCTTAAAATGTTGGGTAAAAGGAGATTATTGATGAAGTGGAGACCTGGGGAAGATATGGGTATTAAGTATCTGGCCTTAACTTCTCTGCAAATAAAGGAAAGGGGATGAGGATAGGAATTTACCTTAATTTTAAGAGTTGGGGTCACAGGGAAATGAAATAATTTACTACCCGAGAAGTCAAAACACACATACCTGCCACGCGCACACAGACATACATGGTAGTTCATGTAGTGGAATGCATGGATCTTACAACATTCACTGCTATTTATTTGATAGTAGAGGGTACATGGGGCAGGGGAGCTCAGTAAGCATTTGTTAGATAAATAAATATCCCCAGATTTGTATCCCTCAGTTTTAGATTTTATTTGTGGAATATCTATGTTAGAGGACATGGGGAGAATAAGATGCAAAAAACCAGAAGCCGCTGGGCTCGATGCCCTTGAGCCCTCTACTCTGGCTTTTTCTTCTTTGCCACACAGAAGTGACAATTCTGTATTAAAATCACCAGTCCTTTTGTTTGCCTCCTTTATTACATTGTGAGTAACATCTGTCATATGTGCATCTGTGTTTCTAGGATCTAACCCAGGGATGGCACATAGTAAGTGCTGAAGAAATATTGCTTGAATGAATGCAAGAGGATGGACTTGAGGGAATGCTTAAATAACAGAGAAGGTCACAAGGAGAGGGGGAACACTTGTCAGATGGAGGAGAGATATAAACTAAACCACAGGGTTGACATAATTGCTTGTGTGGGATGCAGTAACAACGTTGCCCGATTCTCATCTGTAATGTGGGGATTCGTAACTTGCTGCAAGTCAAACAACTTGCAATTGAGGGCTTCTGGATTTGCACCTAAATCTTGCTGATTTCCAAGCTCAGGGTTTCCCACTATAACATGCTTCCTTGTCACCATATTATTTCTTGTAGTAATCACCCCACCTTTCGACTCACAGATGCCTTGTTTTTTTTCCTCCTTGGTCCCGATGAAATATTTTCTGTCATGGACACCTTCTTTGTATGGTTGTTTTTCTGAGTTCTATTTGTTGCTCTTTCCTAGCTCTCCACTGTGGTTTGAATCCACGGGGTATTGATCACCCTGCCCATGCTGAAGGTATTAAACTCCAGATTGAAGGTGAAGGTGTGGAATCTCAATCCATTAAAAACAAAAATTTCCAGAAGGTACCTGACCAGAAAGGAACCCCCAAGCGACTGCAGGCAGACGCTGAGACGGCTAAGGTGCGTAACATTCCAGTTAATTACGGAGATTTGAAAGCTGCAGCCTTGATATGCTGTGGTCCAGCCATAGAGAAGAGCTGATAGTGCTTTCACTAATAACCGTTGTATCTGTGGTCAAATGAACACTGTATCTTGCTGATAAATAATTATAAAGGAAAATATTAACTGTATTCCCTTTGGAATGAAATGGAAACACATTTGTGGCCCATCTCATAGCATGAGTCTCTGAGGTTATAGAGAAGAATGCCCTGGACTTAAAGCTAAAAGATTAATCCACCAGGCTCAGACTTACCACTCTATGGTGTTGGGCAAGTCCTGTAACTTTCTGAGTTGCAAATTCTTCATCTACACAAGGGAATCAGTCATAAAATAACTTCTCTTATCAGATTGAGCAGATCAAACAATTGCATGCTTATGAAAGTATTTTATAAAAGTCCCAGTACTGTGTGAGTGTAAGAGGCTTGTGCTTACAGGTATTGTTAATTAGTAATAGCTGATACTTTATGAAATATGCATGTATATCCCAGGTACTGTTTGAAGGACTCTTGATCTGTAGACTTACTGTGTCCCTGTAACAATCTTGTGAGGTAGACAATATTGAATAGTACCCTAACCAATGACAGAGAAAATTATTTTATTCTGCTGTAGGATACTTAGTTCTTTTCAATCTTTAGACTAAACACAGGTATCATAGAACTGACAAAATAGGTGTTGGTGAAGATGGAGAGAAACTTGGGTTCTGTGGGGTAGGTAATTTTTTAGTAAGGACAGCCTCTTCTAAAGGCTGCCTACAATGGAACTGGCCCTACCTGGGTATTTGTCTGAAATCAATGCAGATGTTCATGTTGGGGGCACAGTGTTGTTAGAGATACTCATATCAGTTTTCCTCTTAGACACTGAGGAAATTAATCTTCATAAAGTTTTGTTTCTCCCTTTGTGTATTCCCTGCAAGACAATGTGCTTTCAAATGTTGGTTGAGTGAATGAATGTATGCATGCTTTGGAAAGCAAATATTGTAACCACCCAAGAAAAATCTTAAGGAAAAAGGTCACTTGTTGTTGTACAATAACCACCTCCCTTCTCCTCCAAATAATGTCTTCCAAAATCATATGTGAATTTTTTTTTTGCTTTATCTACAGTTTTGAATAATTACTGTTATTCCTTTTCTTCTTTACGGATAATTAAAAATTTGACATTAAGTATGTGTGTGTGGTAGGGAATGGGGAATGATTACCAAGAAATATATGGCAGGCATTTTACACTGGACATTTTAGCTAAGAGAAATGGCAACTCATAGGATATTGACCGATGATCAGTGAAGTTTGGCTTGTGAGCAGCATTGGAAATAAGTAAACCCTGTTAAAACAGCTAAAGCTGATCAATCCATGTTGCTACATGGATATCTTGAAGGAGCCAGGAAAAGAAGCCTTAAGGGTCCTCTTTAGGAAGATAAATAGACTTTCTCTGAGTGAAATATTTTCTAAAGGATGCTTAAAATATTAAAAATTAGAGTAGACAGAAAAGAAAAGTTAACTATTGATATTTGATTTTTAATTCAACTTTAAACATTT